CAGAAGGCTTCTGGATTCAGCCCGCATTGAATTTCGACCATGGAAGATCTTTTCCATTTGGTTGTCAAGCATGGGTTGGATATGGTCAACAACCAGACAATGCTGCTACGTGGAAGTTTAATCACAAGTTCAAGATGCAGTTTAGTAGATGGGTTTTTGACCGACTGAGAATGTTTGATCAAAATGAATTAGTCTAAATGGAAACACTATGTATGTGTAGCAAGTGAGAAATCAAAAAGCTGTCACTTGTATATGAATCTGATAAAGTTGTTACGGTTGTGTAAATATATTTTCTCTTTTTCTTCAAACTTCATTGGTCTTTAACTCAAATAAAGTTGAATTGAACTGCTGATGATGCATAGTGTAGAATTAGACTTTAGACCGTTCCCCTATTGTATTCAACGTACGATCGCGAACGAAATGTGAACCATTTGCTGGGGTATCGTGATATATTTGCATGATACTTTTTCGTATTTTACCTTTGGGAACGACTGGTACCGATTTTAATTGTTGTCTTCGCATTAGCATGCTATCTTCGATGATGTAATTCTTATGTTTTTCCTTTTCCAAATTATTCAGGATCTGTTGTAAAGTCGGATCAGACAGTTGTTGTTGCCTAATATCATCGTGCGTAAAAGGAATAATACGGTACTGATCAAGTTCAGGTAAAGCCTGTGTATTCGCATCCGTACGAGGTTTGTCCTTTGATTGAACAGCCTCTTTGTTTGGACACATAACAGGGTTGTCCGACGTGCAGACATCCCACTGATCATCATTATCTCTTTTTCCTTGTAATTGAGTGGTAACCGCTGCAATAACTGGTTGTTTTGTTACTGGTACTCGGTCATTATTATCAGTTTGTGTTTAGCGTGATATTCGTTGTACATAATCATCTAGATCGTCTGTAGGACCATCCACGGGTGATCGAGATAAATAGTCTGGCATGGTGTTGTCATGCCTTATAATACGTGTAATTGTCATACGATATTGTTGAAATTTCAGTCGCCATCGTTCACATTTATCATTGCCTTGTGCTTTTTTGTTCAGCCATTTCAATGGTTTATGATCGGTTTGTACTTCAAAATCCACACCGTC